GGTTACAATAGTGAAGAAATCCTCCTCCTAAAGGAACTCAGAGCCTGGAAACTGAATGGTGATGTTCAGCGTGAAATGGGCTGTGATGGGAGGAGGCTAGGGTGCTCAGCTTAGAAAGACGTCCCGGGGGCGGGGACGATAGGTCCGAGCCCTGAGCCTGAGAAGGGTCTTCCGTGACCAGAGGCAGGGAGCAGCCTGTGCTAGAGAGGGAAGCAAGGTCAGATCAGCTGGGACAGGGTGGCGTGGCCAAGGGGACAGGGGGCTGGACAGGGGGCAGGACCGCACCCTCATCTTGCTAGCCAGGCTGGTGAGCTGTGCTGTTACCTTAAGAGGAAGGACCTGGCCCCGAGCAGGTCTGCCTCGGGCTGCCCAGTGGTGTGTGGGTTCTTGATTTGGTGCAGGAAGGATTTCACAACACTTGTCCAGGTGATTTTTAGAGGACTTGTATTAAAACTGAGGACAGTGATACAAGGAAGGGCCTAGGGCCGTGGTTGGCAAACTGCGGCTCGCGAGCCACATGCGGCTTTTGGCCCCTTGAGTGTGGCTCTTCCTAAGCCTTAGGAGGACCCTAATTAAGTTAATAACAATGTACCTACCTATATAGTTTAAGTTTAAAAAATTTGGCTCTCAAAAGAAATTTCAGTCGTTGTACTGTTGACATTTGGCTCTGTTGACTAATGAGTTTGCCGATCACTGGCCTAGGGTAACAGGAGAGGGGCCAGGTGGAGAAATGAGCATAAGCTGGCTGCTTAGTATTCCTTTACGTTCATCTGTCCTTGAGGGTGGTTGGCAAATGGCATTAATTGGGTTTCCGCTATCTGTCTCCCTGAGTGGGGTGCTCTAAGCTATTTACTCTCGGGTTGGTGAGAAGTACAAACTATTTACTCTTAAGTCCTTGGTCACAGAAGACAGGACTTACCAGACGGCTGCAAACTGCTTGTTTAACTGTTTGTCTTAGTTTCCCTCTTCCACTTGTCCTGGCTTACTGGTATGTCTCACTGTGGAGTTGGCATTCCGCCGTCTGTGGGTTTCTGGGCAGGGAAGAGACCGCTTAAGAAGGAACAGGCACCCTAGACAGTTTGGCTCAGTGGGTAGAGTGTTGGCCCAAGGACTGAAGGGTCCTGGGTTCTGTTCTGGTCAAGGGTACATACCTTGGTTGCAGCTGGGGAGTGTGCAGGAGGCAACCAATCGATGTGTCTCAACCAATTGATGTTTCTCTCTGTCTCCCCCCCCCCATCCCATTCTCTCTAAAAATCAATGGGGAAATCTGAGAATTAACAACAACAAAAAATGAAGGAACAGCAGCTGCTGTGTCAGTTTGGAGGAGGAGGGCCAAAGGGAGGTCAGAGAGAGGTGAAGGTGGCCTGAGCGGAGGTGTGGCATGGACAGGAGGGTGGATTTGAGAGCAGGTTAAGGGGTGAGGTCGCCAGGACTCGGGTGATGAGAATGAGGGAGAAAAGAGAGGGCCAGAGTTCAGAGTTGGGAAGGGCGGAGTGGAGATCTGCCCCGTGTTAGAGGGGTTGAACTGGGGGGGCCGGTGTGGGGCAGTGTCACCCACATAAATATTTAGGAGGCAGCTGAACATATGGGTCTAGGACTCGGACGGGAGTTAGAGGTTTGAAGCCACGCACATTCAGATGGTGCGAGAAGCCCCGGGAGTGGAGAGAAAAGAGAGCAGGGCCTGGCCCAGCCCCGAGGCCCGCAGCCCTGGTGACCTGAGTGAAGCAACAACAGTTGAGAACAGCAGATGGAGATGTGGAGGAGAATCGGGGGGCCAGGGACATGTGTCAAGATGCCAGGGACAATCAGCGCGGGAGTGTCATTGGATGAAATGCTGGGGTCCCCTGTAGCCTCAGTGAGAGCAATTTCAGGAACAGCGGTGAGAATCCCAAGACAGGGCTGAGGAGCCAATGGGAGGAGACGTGGACAGCTCAAGAAATTTGCCTGGCCTGGCCGGTGTGGCTCAGTGGTTGAGCATCGACCTACGAACCATCAGGACAGTGATGGCGAACCTATGACACGCGTGTCAGAGGTGACACGTGAACTCATTTTTTTTGGTTGATTTTTCTTTGTTAAATGGCATTTAAATATATAAAATAAATATCAAAAATATAAGTCTTTGTTTTACTATGGTTGCAAATATTGAAAAATTTCTATATGTGACACGGCACCAGAGTTAAGTTAGGGTTTTTCAAAATGCTGACACGCCGAGCTCAAAAGGTTCGCCATCACTGAACCAGGAGGTCATGGTTCAATTCCCGGGTTGTGGGCTCGATACCTAGTTTGGGGTGTGCAAGAGGCAGCCAATCAATGATTCTCTCATCATTGATGCTTCTATCTCTCTCACCCTCTCCCTTCCTCTATGAAATCAATAAAAGTATATTTTAAAAAAGAAATTTGCCTACTAACAAGAGAGAGAAGCAGAAGGGTCATGGAGGGTGTAGTGGTCTCAGGACCCCTTTACAAATTAAAAATTATTGAGGACCCTAAAAACATTGTTTATGTGAGCTATAGCTATTGACAAGATGTAGTATATTAGAAATTGAGAAGTTTAAAATGTATTTATTAAATAAAAAATAAAAAAGAATAGCCTGGCCAGCATGGCTCAGTGGTTGAGTGTCAGTCTATGAACCAGGAGGTCACGGCTCGACTCCTGGTCAGGGCACACGCCTAGGTTGTGGGCTTGATCCCCAGTGTGGGGCATGCAGGAGGCAGCCTATCAGTGATTCTCTCTCATCATTGATGTTTCTATCTCCCTCCCTCTCTTTCTTCCTCTCTGTAATCAATAAAAATATGTTTTATAAATCTATTACACATTAATATATCTTAAAAGAAAAAGGATTCTATATTCCAAAACAAACAAATTTAATGAAAAGAGTGGCAATGTTATAAGTTTTTAATGTCTGACAATGGAAGCAGCTGGATTCTCATCTCTTCTGCACTCAATCATTTGCAAATCCACATAAATAGCTCTGCAAAACGCCACTGAATGCTCATGAGGAAATTACAGTAAAAAGACAAGTCACCTCTTAGTATTATTACAAAAATGAGGAAATTACAGTAAAAGGACAAGTAACCTCCTAGCATTATTACAAAAATACTTTTGACCTCACAGA